AAATCCAAAGTATAGGAGTGCATGATTTTACTCCTCAAAAGGCAAAACTGTTAAAAAAATCAAGGAAACAGTGCAATTACTGTAATAATGAATTTAAATTTAAGTTGAACTGGGATTTTTTTAAACAGATTTAAAAATGTAAAAAAAGATGCACTTCAGCTATGAAGTATTTCTTGGTTTGGTTTCAATGAATGAACTGAGTCTGTATGAGCACAAGCACCCTCTCCCCATGGTGGTTTTGGTACAAGGTCTGATTCACTAGCAGCGAGCCAGCAGGACGGGTAGAGCAGGGCTGCCGGGAAGTGAATTGAGTTGCGCTGATGCTTTTCCACCGCCAGCGTACCCTGGATAGAAATACAACGGCAGTTCACCTGGAATAAAAACAGAACTAGGGAGGAGGAAGGGGCCTCTCTAAAACCTGTTTGCCTCGGCCAGGTTTACACACCGCGTGCCATGTGCCTCGCTGGTTTGTGAGGGCTGTAACCGGGTGCACCAGGACTCCGGAAAGCATCGGCGCTTGCGGCAGCTTCACCTGCAGACTGGCTACAAGGAGACGTAATGCCTAGAAACTAGCAGGAATGGTCTCTGCCATTTTTTGTACAATGCAACAGCTCCCCCATCTTACAGACGAAAGAACTTAAAATGGAAAAACATCCCCAGAAAGCGAGCACCAGGGCAACTCCACACGCTCCACCGCTTCTGCGGGATGGAGAGGCTGGTGCTGCGCTAGTGCCGGCAGCGTTTCCTGTTTCCCAGGTGCTCTGGAGAGGGGGATCCTCTCCACACAGCGCGGCACTTGACATTTCAGTGATTAAGGCATTGAATTTCCGTCTTGTAAGGATGAGTAAACATCGCAATTTCCAAATACTTTTTGATGCGGTACAACAGTCTGTCTCAAAGAGGAACATTTATCACCTCTCGCCTCAGAGTTTTAGCATGGCTGCTACAACCTGCAGCCACTCGTACTGTGCTGAGCACTACGCTGCACTGCTGTCAGCTTCCTTTAGGGTGTACACGCAGCACGCTGAACCAGTGTTCGGCACTGCTTAGAGAGAGACGTCTGTGTAAAGCACTTCGCTTCTGCCAAGAAGGAGAAAAATTGACTGCTACTGCTAAACCCAGGACAGGAGTGATGCATGCCTAAAGTCACACCTTCAGCCTCCTGCATAGACATCCCCACCTCAGGGGAGAGAGAGTTCTCCTTTCTCACCCCAATGACAGTGTTTGGTTTGGCTTGCCCGGTAGTTTGGTGATGAATCCTGAGGGTGCTGCCTGCATCAGCTGCAGCTCAAAGGATGGCTCTGGTTTATGAGGTGGGGCCCTGGAGGAGATGGGGGGACAAGCACCCTGCTGTGACCACCACAGAGGGCAGGCAGTGGGTTTGGAAGGTGTGGGGAGCCAACTCAGCAAGCGCAGCGCCCCACAAGCCGGATGCAACGAGGTGGCACTATGCCCAGCCTGAGGTCCCTCCTTTGTGCCATAAGGATTGGAAAGAGTGCATAAAAGCAGCTTTATGTATTATTTGTACAAAGCACTTTCATCAAGAAGCTCTCATTTCAGCCAAAAGAAAAGGAATGATGAAATCATTTTAACACCTATGAGGGAAGAGAGATTTTAGGTTAAGGCATTACTGGCTCTACCAGGAAAAAGCCATTAATGCTATGCTTGGAGGCTAGAGGAAGTCAAAACTCACAGGAAGTGCTTGTTAAGATAGGGAATGGGTAGGGTGGCTCAGCCCTTGTCCCAGTGGAAGCAAGGGGTCCCCAAGGCAGGGCAAGTCCTGAGCAGAGCTACACTGGAGCTCAGCTGTGTAATACTGAGCATCCTCAGCCCTGGGGACCATGGAGGCCAATCTCATATGCGGGGGTATGCTGCCAGGCATGCAGGGACTCCCCCAAGACACAAACCTGCCCCTTAGGACACTGAGGTCCTTCCTGAAACAGCCCATCCCTCGCATTGAAGTAGTGTTCAGGCACGGGCACCCCTGTGGCATCACCCCAGATGGCTGCGAGCACCACAGGGAAAGAACCCAGCAGAGGGGCATAAGAGGGAGGTCTCAGGGTAAGATCTGCAACAGCCCAAGTATCACACATTGTCACTTAGGTCTGGGTCCAGGATTCACTTTGATTTCCATACTCAGACATATCAAACACAGTGTTGACTGCTCCCGTTTGAAAGTTGCTGGGGTTTCACTCTACTTCTAACAAGCCATGGGGCTATCCTTGGCCGTGGGCAAGTGCCCAGTTACAGCAGAACAAAGAGCTTCCACGACAGGAGCACCACCCATTGAGCACCTGAAAGCAAGTCACCACATAACCATGGGTCCATTCTCATCACCATCGCTGTGCTCTCAGGAAGGGACACACAATATCCTGCAGCGGCAGTGTCTTGCTTTCTGAAGCAGATCACAGCCAAGAGCATCCTTTGGGCTTCCCTTTTAAACACAGACCCCAGCATCTGCAGTGCTACTGCCATGGAACAGCACCCACAAGGCAGCCTGATAAAGAAGCCAAGGGAGTGGGCAATGGCTGGAAGAGTTGTGGCGAGTGCATCAAATCACCACAGACACATCCAGTGACCTGGCAGACTGGCTATCCATCCAACCCACCTGGATGTGAACCTCGCCAGCACATTCCCAATTCCCCATGCTCTCAGAGACTCCAGGAAGGAACAGTTTTTCCACTGGATATGTTAAGGCAGTGGTGCCAATTCAGTCTCACGCTCAATGCAGATTTCAGGCTGGCAAGGAAGCTGCAGCAGCCCTTGCTCAGACCACTGAGGCCAGAGTGCAAGCATGTCACTAAAGCTGTCAGCAAGGATGTGGTCTGGACTGTGCTGTAATGGTACCACGTCAGAGTGGTCCTGAACCAGTCCTCATGGTGTGTGGTGCTCAGCACAAGCACAAGCTTATACCGAGTTCCCACTGGGCTTTTTCATCTTCTTTTTGCCAGGGAAGCCGTACCCAGATGCTCGCTTCCTTTCCCAGTGCCAGCTGCACGGGTGGTACCACCATCATGCCAGCTATTCTGCTCCTGGGGCAGAAGAGAACTGACAGCAGCAATGGCTCCAACATGAAGCCCAAGAAGACCGCCTGATCTGGTAGCCATCAGCCAAGATAACAGATGTTACACCACAGAGCATCTTCCCTCTCTGCTCTCTCCAGAGCAGATCACACTGTGAAAGCTGAATCAGGGCTGAGCACAAGACTGTCTCCAGCTCCAAAGGACAACTGTGCTAGAACTGTCAGGGAGTGTACCTGCAGAGCCAACCTTGGCAAAATCCACTTTCTGACAGCAGTTTTCCCTCAAGGGAGTAGAAGATCTGAACTCATTCTCTCCCACCAGCACTTGAGCCTCTCTGCCTCTATACAACCTCAACCAGCTCCATGAAATAGCACCTGGGACTTGGAGGTAAATACCAACCTCTGAGAGCCAGCCCAGCTGCCAGCCCTGGTCAGCTTCAGAGGCTGCCAGAAGGGCAGAGGCTGACTGCTGCTGTGGGAGGTGCGTTCCTCCCTAGACTAGGGTCACACGCTGCTGTGGAGACCACAGAAACAAACTCCCTTTCCACTTCAGAGTTTGCAAGAAGAGTTTTCTCAGGCTGCATGGGCAGACCTGAGCCTGGGAGTACTGCTGCGTTCCCCTTCCTCACCCACACCGCATGCTGCATCGAAGGCACGAAAGTCTTTTGCGCTGTGTCAGCAGGGAGACGTGGGTTACTGTTACTGAACCCTTCCTCTTCTGGGACGGGGCTCTCCCTCTGTTCAACCCCAGCAAAATGCCAATGTGTCCCAGCAGCACTGCTTCCGTTGCTTCTGAGCACATCAAGCAGTCAATGAGTTCTCCACTGCTCCGTGCAGCGGTGACTGCCCTGTGTGCTGGCCATGTGCAGACAGCATCCTGAGTGCCTAGGCTGGACGAGCCAAAAAGAGCCGGGCAGCCACGAAAGAGCAGGCAGGGTCCCAGCAGGAGGGTGAGGAGTTGGGCCTGTTGCCCAGTGGGCACAGGGTTCCCTGCCCATGCTTCCCTCCAATTTCAGGGTCACAGCAGCCGATGAGGTTCATTAGCTCCTCTTAAAGGCTTCACTGGCAGCTCTCATTGCTCTGCTTCGGGTCCTGCAACATCACCGACATTTTCTCACAAAAGAGCATCAGAGAAAGGTGTCAGTATTTCGTAGCGTGAAATGCACTCTTCTCCCCGTTAGAGCCCCGGAGACGGATAGCGATCTCTAAACCCCTAAAAGCTCTCAAATTTATTGACCCCAAACCTAACCCAGCCTTTCCTTTTCCTGCCAGGTTCATCCCCTCCTACAAGTCAGGTATCGCAGCCCGCGGCCTCACACCGGCGCTCCGCGGTCGGGCCGGGCCGGGCACAGGCAGGGGCAGGCTGTCGCCGGCCTCCCGGAGGGTGCGCAGGAGCCGATCCACCATGCAGGTCAGAAGTGTCGTCTCTCACCCTCGCGTCTCCGCTTCAGCGCCGCGGGCTAATGCTGCCAGTGCGTTTCCCGGAGAAATGACCAGGTCAAAACCGGGCGCACTTCCCCTCGGGCCCGCAACCGCCTCCCTGCCCCGGGGACTCCCGCGAAGGGGCTGTCCCAGCCGCGCTCGGTCCCCGCCACCGCAGCTGGTGTGTGGCGGAGCAGGCGTGACCGTGTCCGTGCCGGTACCCGCTGCCCGGTCGCTGCGAGGCGGGGGGCGGCCGGCGGCACGTCTGCGCGGCGGCCGGTCGGCTGCGGCTCATCCGTGCGTACGGCGGGGCGGGGAGGCGCCCGGTTCCTCCAGCCCGCCCCGGCGCGGCGCGGGGGAGGCGGTGGCTGCCTCCATGCTGCAGCGAGCGGCGCGGCTGCCCGGGGCCGGGCGGCGGGCAGAGGCACGGAGGATGGGCGCAGCAGCCGCGGCGGAGGGGCGAGCCGCGGGCGCCGAGCACCCCGCCCTGCCCCGTCGCAGCGCCCGGCGCCGCGGCTGCTCCGCCTGAGCGCGCCCGGAGCGGAGCGGCGCGGAGCCCGCATGGCCCTGCCGCCGGCCGCCCCTGCGGGCTGCGCGGCCGCTCCGCTGTAGCAACCCCTTCGGGAAGGTGCCGGCCCGGCGGCGGGGCTGGCCGCGGCCGCGCTCCTCGCCACCCCGGCCCCGTCCGTCTGTCCGGCCGCCAGTCCCTCCGTCCGTCCAGCGGCAGCGCCCAGGATTACGCAGCTGGGCGCGGAGCGGCAGCGCTTGGCGAGGATCAACCTGGCGCAGGTACACGGCAAGGTCACCGGCCGGCGGGCGCGGAGCGGGGCTGCCCGCGGCGGGGCTATGCGAGCGGGCTCGGCGGGCTGCGCCGCTGCGTGCCCCGCGCCGTCCCCCCGCCTCCCGCCCGCCGCCCGTGCGTGTGTGCATGTGCGCTGCCCGCCGCCGCCCGCCGCCGGAGCCGCGCCGCCGCGCCGCATGGGGCCGTCCGCGCGGGCTGCCCTGACCTCCCCGGCCGCGGGCCGCCGCGAAGCCGCTCTAGGATGCGGCTGGTGAGCGCCGGCACAGGGCGGAGAGGCGGCCGGCCTGCCTGCCGCCAGACCCCGGAGCCCGCCGGAGCCCGGCCGCACCTGCAGGGGAAGCACTCCGGACGCCGTCCTTCCCCGGGAGGCGCCAGGTAATCGCGGCGGGCGGCCGTACCGGCTCCATCTGCATTGCAGCCCGCGGTGCTTATTCACGGGGGACGGGGAGCGGGGAGGCCGGGGGGGGGGGGCGCAGCGGCGGTGTCCCGCGCCGGGCAAGGCGAGCCCCGCAGCACGGCGGGCGGCACCGGGACGGAGCTGGGGAGGATGATTGTGGCGGCGGGACGCTCCTCCCGGGAGGGCGGTGGCCGAGGGGCGCGGAGCGGCGCGGAGGCTGTGCGGCGGGGCGGGCGCCCCGCGGACGGGCCGCGCTGCCGCCGCTGCCCGCGGGACGGCGCCGGCGGCCGAGGCTGCTGCGGGGCCGCCTGTGCCTCGCGGCCGCCGCCCGCTCCGCGCCACTGCGCGCTGCTGCCGCCGCCCGGGGAGAGCCGGTGCAGCCGCGGGCGCGCAGCCTCCGCCCGCGCGGTGCCGCGGGAGGGCTGCGGCGGGGAGAGGCGCGGCGGTCGCTGCCCGTGCCCGGGCGGAGGATCCGCGGGGCTGCCGCCGTGCGCGGAGCCACCCTTGGGCGCTGCCGCCAGCGCCGAGGTAGCGGGAGGCTGGGCGCCTCCGGCCGCGGGGAGTGCAGATACCCCCGGTGGGGAGCGGGAGGCCCGCGGATCCCCGCCGTCCTCCTCGCAGCGGTCGCTGTCCTCCCGAGGGCCGCCCGGTCCTGCAGTCCTCACCCCGCACACACCTCTGCCGTTGCTGCTCTGTCCTGAGGGCTGCCGCTGGTCCCCAGCATCGCGGGATAGGTGCGTGCTGTTTCCCTTCCCCTCGCCTCCATCCTCCGTGTAGCTAACAATTCTCATATGCAGGAAAGCAAATGTAGGACAAGATAAACCTTTTCATTCCTGCCGGAAGGTTCCTGTTAGAGGAGATGGCAGAGCAGTTGTAGAGCCAGCAGAAACCTCGCAGCCATGTTGATGTCAGGAGCATACAAAGGTCCTGGTTCTTGGAGCAGATGGGGCCGAGCAGAAGCTGGTGGAAGGGAGTGTGTGTGGGCACAGGCCTGGTTCAGGGCCATCACACCTTGGAAGACATGGCATGGCAAGGCTGGAAGCACTTATGAAAGCCCCTTCTAATGCTGTTGCCTGCCAGCACAGGCAGGGAGGCACAGGGTCTGCAGCCCTGGGATCTGCCATCAGTGTTTACCTGAGCACTGCCCTTTCTGTCTGTGGCACTGAGCAGCAGTGTTCCCCCTCCTGCACCTTTGCCTTCTCCCTCTCACCTGGTCCATCATGCCTCTGGGGCAGGGACTGTTTCTCATGGCGGTGTGTGCCTAGAGCAGAAGGATGTTGTAGTTTCAGTTGTGGATATGAACCTCACCAGTCCCCCAGCTGGGAGGGGAAGCTGGTTGCCCCCAGCTAAGCCCAACCCTTTACAGCCTCCAGCTGACCCTCATGGAACGGGGTGGGCCAGGGGTCCCTGTGCCTGGTCATTGTGCTGTGATAGCAGTCTCCCACCCTTCCCACCCATGCTTACATTTTCTTGTTTCCAAATCAATGTGGTGTCAGTTCTTCTGAGCATCCTTGGTTGAGTGCTGGCATGTGTAGGCCAGCTTGGGTCAGTGCAGCCAGACAACAAACTGGTGTGATGAGATGGATCCATCCCAGGTCTTTAGGGTTTTCTTGGTTACCACTGCATGTCTACGGGTCATGCATGGAAGGGCCCTGGCCAGCTTTGGCAGCACCAGTCCTGGCCATGGATGTGTCCAGGTGTGGAGATGCCCAAATGGACTGCGTGTACTGGGACCGGTACCACCGCAGTATGGTGGAGCCATGTCCAGCACACTTGAGCTGTTCTGGCCCTGAGTACTCGGGGCTGTGTGATCCTTGTGCTGCCTCAGGGATGCTGGCTGAACTCCCCACATGATGTGGGCTATGTGCAGGCTCTGCCTTGGTGTTAGCTTTAGGCTCTATGATGCTGCTGTGGTCTGTCCTAGCAGATGGAGGTCTGCCACTGCTGATCCAGGAGTCAGGTTTGATTCTTCATGAAGAGCCATACCAGAGCCTGAGTGTTCTCAGTGCCCAAACACCTTCCCGATCTATGCTTCTAAATATATACTGTACTCAAGGGATTATGCATTTGTTTAAATGCATAATAAATGCGTTAAAATGAGTAAGACTCTATCAGAATGCATACCAAAGCTTGCCAGTTAGGCCTCAAGTCACAAGCCTAACTAAGAAGCTTCTCCTGGCGTTATTAGCTTGCCTGTTTTCAGAAAGAGCAATTACTCAGTTTATCATGGCAGTGCAAGTCAGTGGAAGTAAACCCTGGGTGTTTCAGGTGCCTAGTATAAGTTCAGAGCACCAGTTCACCAAAGTACATGCAGCTGCAGGAGTGGACCCCAGATTGTCCTGCTTCAGTGAGGGCGGGTGGGCCAGGTTCCCTTGTCTTGCTGGTGACCAGGAGGAGGTCTGGGCTCTAGGGTGCCACACTGCTTGGGATGATTTCCCTTGGGCTTAGCTGGAATTTTTTGTGTAGCTCTTGTTGTCTGGAGAGGCTCCTGTTTGCCGCTAAAGGTACGAACGGTGATGGGCTGCGGTCACAAGATAGGATGAGAAAGGTGAGGGGTGGCTGGTGGAGAAGCAGTGTTGGGAGAGCAGCATGGCAAGAGGGAGCCAGATCTTCCCCGGACAGACCCCCTGTGGGCTTCTACCACTGCAGCGGTGGGGTGTGGGGTTTATCCCCTGAGCTGAGGAGAGGGGCAAAGGCAGGTTTGCTGGGAGGGACAGGCAAGGGGGGGAGCGTCTTGGAAGGATATAGCACCCCAGGTTGCCTGGAAGGCTTGTCAACTGCTGGGGCATGTGGAGATGTTTGAGATGCCAGAGAGCTAATGGCTTTCCATTGCTGATCAATATTGCCTATGCTTTCAGATGTGGTAACAGGTTCAGTTTTAAAGAGCAATCTTTCGAATATTCTCTGAGCAAGCAATGAGGCCAGAAAATCGTTCTAATAGCTTTGTTATTAGTGGGCCTGCAGAACTTGAGCCAAACAGAAAGGGCTTAGGCTTGTCTAAGTGCTATTGAAGCATTTTGGGCCAGGCATATTCCATGCATTAGGAAAGATTTGTACTCCTTTGACCAGACTTCGCTGAGTGTTGTCTATTTATACACGTCTAAATATATCCTCTGCAGTCTTCAGACTTTTCTAGCTAGTAGTAAAATTACAGTTCGATATCATGCTATTAAAATGTGCTTGCTGACACTATTTGATGAGTTTTATGCTAAGAGGTGTGTGTGTCAAATAAAAACTATTCTTGAGGTAATTGCCTAAAATATAAAAGTATGTTATCGATGTAGAGGGATAGCAGAAGGAAATGTGGTTGGACAGAGACAATACTGGAGACATGCTCAAGCCTGGAAAGCCAAATCCAAACCGATGTACTGTTGCTTAAGAGTGAACCATTCTTTCTAGAAATACGTATCAAATAATCATGCACTTTGCAACAAAACAGAAACATTTGCTTCTCATTACTCAGATATGCCTTCTGGTACCCCGAAGTCTGAGGCATCGTTTTGAAAACAAAATGACAGATCTTGAAGGAGTAACTTCTCATTTGCTAGGGCATGTGGCAGGTAGGGGACCCATGGGTGCCCCTGCTGCATGGTCCCATTCCATTGGAGCTCTGATGGAAACAGGGAGGAGTTCAGAGGGAAGGAAGAGGGATCCTCCTTTGTGGATGAGCTCAGTGGTCCGTTCCCACAGAGCTGTGGTGGCTGCAACCCAGAATCTATGGTTCCAGGCAGCCTGCAGTGTGTGGCACTCCACCACAGTGGCATGGCATGGAACTGCTGGCAGAGCTGGACGGAACATACGGTCTCAGTGTGTGCTGGGGTGGAGAGGGATGGTGATGGCTGTCCAGGTTGTGTTCTGGAAATGGTGTTAAAGACCCAGGGGTGAAAGACAGTGCCCTAATTCCAGGCTATCCCAAGTATTCCCACATATCCCTGCTGCAGATGGGAGATGGGTGAGTCTGTGTCCATGTACGCATTTCTGTGGAGCTAGTGAAAGTCTTGTCGGGCTCCTGAGGAGGGATGTGTTCCCAAGTAACAAACAGGATCGGTCATTGCATTGTGGTGATGATGGTAATGGCTGTCTGACTGGCCTGCAGCCTGTCATGAAATAATTTTTTGGTGACAGCTCCCACTGATGGTTCTTGGAGAGCTAAGAGAGGCTGCAGAGGAAGGGAGAGGGATTGGTATTCATGGGGGAGGAGATGGGGTGAGGAGAAGGTGAAGGCAGGGCTCTTGGAGGAGATCTTGGCCCAGAGCTCCTTAAGTCAGGTTGCTGCATGCCCCGGGTAACTCGAAGATGGGCGCTGTGCCTCTGGGCTAATGCTGGCCCCTTAGTCTGGGCTCCATGAAATGGTGTGGTGCCAGGAGCCATGCTCTGCCAAGGACCAGCGAGCATAGATTGACATGGCAGCTGCTTTAACTGCCAGATTGTCCCATTGTTTAGACAGTGGGTAATGTCTGAAGGCTCCTTGCCTGTGTGCCTCTGTCCTGGCTTGCCCACTGTCCCCTGCTCTGGAGAGGCTGGCTGGGGTGCATGTTGGGCGTGCTATGCCTGTAGCCTCAACTGGGCAGCAGCTCTCGTATTCCCATG